CGAACCTAATCATACGCCCACGCGGTACCTCTCTTCATTACCATCGTGCCGGCTATTAATATCAGAAACGATACTAACACGAAGCAACCTCTTATGCTCGTCTACCACGTTGAACAACTTTCTCCTCTCTGACCATGATAAAAATAAGCTCGTTTATAATAGATGACGCTTATATTTTTCCGCGCGAGAAGATCGATTATATCAGATAAATTTGATAAGAGAATTATGCAACGCCGGTATTCATGTATGAATTATTCATATCCGCGGTAAGATACGCAAATTTGAATACAATACTAATTTATCTGTGATAATGTTGCAGTTTTCGCCGTCGAAAGATGAATGCTGTTCGTTTCCCAATGCTTTTCATTATTAAGGACAACGGCTAAAATTGTACGCCTTAATTAATCACTTAATTAATCTTTTTACCACTAATTATCTTTCACTTTTATACCGTATTGATGTAAAAAAGCAAATATCACTCACGACAAATCAAAATTCAATATACAAGCGAAGAAAGTATAGTTAAACAGCGTAGAATAAAAATTCAACGAATTAAAAATTTGCAACGATTTGCAAGTCAATATCTGTTGCGTCGTGGACTATGATCAAGTCTTATGACCAGGAGTTCTGGCGCAGGTTGATGATAGTTCTCGCTGGTTCGAGGTGTATTGAAACTTGGTTGTTGGGTTAGATGTTTTTCTTTTGATTCGTTGATGTAGATGTTTAGTTGAAATTCAGTTATTCTTTTTTTTTGACGATGTGTTTCGTGCACTCGTTTTACTGTGATTGTCGGTTTTCGGGCTCGAGGTGTATTGAAACTTGGTTGTTGGGTTAGATGTTTTTCTTTTGATTCGTTGATGTAGATGTTTAGTTGAAATTCGGTTATTCTTTTTTTTTGACGATGTGTTTCGTGCACTCGTTTTACTGTGATTGTCGGTTTTCGGGTGTGTAGATGTATATATAGGCATTAGATTGGTTCTGATTGGTGGTTGTGTTATGGAGGTGGAAAACGTGGTGTGTTCGGCTATTGGTCGACGAAAACTGTGACCTTTTGGGAGACTCGGTAACGAATGTTTTATGGTCCCGAGTGTTTTTGGGACCTATTGTCCGAGTGTCGCGGTGGTGAGTCCACGGGGCTTCCGAACGTCGGCACCTCGGTCTGGCGGCCAAATGTGACTAAGTGGCTTATTACTATAATCCGCCGAACCGAGACTTCGTTGCGTCCTCATCAGGTCGCAACACTCTGTTTGTAAGTAGAAGAATATTTTTCAACAATGTATTCTTAGTAACGTATTTTAGTAATTAGGAAACTTTTACTTTAATTTATAACAAAGTTATATACAATTGTGTATACGCAAATTAAAGGTGTCAGATAAAATTGCACTTCCCTGAAAACGAATATTGCGAGAAAGAAAAATTCTACGCAAACCGGTCGCCGCAGATATTTACAAAAATTACCGAATACTCGTTAGCGCGTACAACGAGGTGCAACGAAGAGCGTTCGGATGAAGTTGAAGTTCCGTTCCCGAAGAATCGCTATCTCTCGAAGAAGTCTCTCTGGAGTCACTTAAAGACCAGCTTCCTAGCTAACGACGGATACGATAGTCTAGATTTTCGCGTGGTTTCGCTTGGCTCGCAAGCAGAAAAGCGTCGCGACGGACCGATCGATGCCGTTCTTTTGTCGTAGACACTCCTCTCCTTTCTTCCGCTTTCTTTCCCTCTCTCTCTCTTTCTTTCTTTCTCCTGCACGCATCCATCTCCTGCCTCGCTTCGTCTCGAAATTCGAGGGAATCAGAACGGAACGAGGAAAAAAAAGACGAGGGTGATGCAGAGAAAAAAGAAAAACAAACGTCTAGGCGACACCGGTATCGAGAGCCAGATTTAATCGACAAACTGAGACTGTTAACACGTTCAGGACGACAGTGAAATTCACTAATGACCGGACTGCGGATTTTTACGAATGTAATTTAAAAAACAAGCTAGATAAGCGAATGTTTTATTCGCTAAATATCATAATGAGTGTTATATTTTGGGTTTGTTTATTACGCGAATTCTGTGTATTTTTGTGCCTTCAAATTTCCCATAAATGCATAAAAGTCTACTTATGACCCAAGTGTATATCATCGTTAATATTTAATTTTTCAGTATGTAATCTGAAAATGTGGTGATTCACTCAATCTTTTTTAACCATGATTTTCCATCGATGGGTCATCTCAGCAAACAAGAGCATCGATGACCACTCTGAACGTGTCAAGCTGCATTTAAACCAAACGAACGAACGCTCGTTCACGTTCACCATTTTCAAAAATTGTTTACGCTCGTTTGGACTTGAATTTTCTCGAAGTGGAGAGCGAACGAGCGAGCATTCGTTCGTTTACTGTAAACGCATCCACATCTCTCGACACAACCTACTCATTTTTTGTCTACCGTGCAAAACGTTTTATCTAGATCTCACCCCTTTGATCAGACCTCCGTGACCCGGTAAAAGGTGCCGCTGTTTTGTATCGCGCGGCTCCTATCGAAAAATTCAGCCGATAGTCGAGGTTGTGATAGCGAGGAGGGAAAAAATTGGTCGTCGAAGATTTTCCTGTTTTTACAGATAATACGTGAGTTTCGTTGACGGTACATGGTACCATTCGTTGGAAGTTTCTATAGGATTGATTGTAATTGGATTGTTCGAATTATAATGTACACCTTAATCACGTATTGTTGAAAGATTGTGTATCGACCGGAGAAATTCTAGGTATTTTTATTTTCTAGTACAGATTCTCTTGTGCTACAGCTGAGAGAAAATTTGTGATCATGAGAGGTGTGGATTCGAAAGCAAAGTGTTTCTATTGTTGTTGTTGTTGTTTTAGATTTATCCAATAAGTACGAAGAATAGAATTCAGATTATTTAAATGTCCTTATCTGAATTTTAATTTTACTCTGTAAAATTAGATCTGAAATTTGGAAGAGGATAGCAACGTTTGACAAAGATTACTTTGAGAAACAAAAAATAAACATTACCATAATTTAGAAGACCTATCTATTTAATTTGGAAACTTTGTTCAATATTTCTGAATGCAATACGATACTAAAATCTTAAACTTACTTTTTTTACACAAAAAACAAAAGAGAGGACTTTAATAGTATCTAAGTTGACATACCTAAGTGAAATGCCTGCTGTGACAGTAATCTACCACCGTAAAAGAGTTATTAGTCAGTTGTAACACAAAAGCTAGTGCTCGCAAGTTTAATCCTTGCCTATCTGTTACAAAAGGTAGCAATAAAGGTGGTCTCATATGGTTGCAGCCATTATACTGTTAGCACATCACTCTAAACGTGGATGTCCAGCCTTACGATATGCAATGCGACGCAAAAGAATTCATTATAAAATGACGAGATCACAGATAGAATATCGATCCGATACAAAAATTTCAATATTAAAAAATATCAAAATTCCAATTTTCAATATTTAAAAAAAAAATAAAAAGTATATACTACAGACTGAAATGACAATTCCTCGAACATTCTCATATTCGTTACCATACTATTAATTTCCTCTCCGTTAACTTAAATAACAATTCAATCGACGAATCTTTCCGAACAAATCCCTCTATCCCCAAAAAGCAGAAGGAACGATTCGAACTTTCCTAAACTCCGAGTCGAAAAATCTTCTCAAAAAGAATAGTAGAATTCCATTTTACTCCACGGGGAGGACGATCGATCTATCGTGAAACCCCGGCAAAAGTATACTTCCCCTTTCGCCTCGAATATTATACAAGAATAGAAAAATAGAGAGGAAGAATGGAATTGCCAACTCTGCAATTGACGTGGCAGCCTCTTGCCGAAAAGCACTCCATCGTGGTTCACTGGCCGGTGCATTTTCCGTTGACTGTGCACAAAAATTCGGCGACTCGCCGTAAGTTCGAACGATTGAAAAATTTGCTTGCCTCCTCCCCTCTCCCTCTATAATATCACTGATACGCCGGGACTGATGGTTAGAGGGAAGACGAGATCCGATTCAACTTATTTCTACCGTATCGATTTTAATCTGTTCCTCAAAATAATCCCGTTTCATCGAGTGAACCGGACCGTGTTATTCGGAATCGCGATGCACGCGATAAGAAGAAACGAGATTGAGGAATTCGTTCTTCCCCCTTTTTTCAATTTTACCCCAACAAAATAACACGGTGACGCGAAATCGTGTTTCTTATCACTCGCGTCCACTCGAATTACAAAGTTCACAATAAACTCCGAGCTGTGTTACAGGGGGTGTAAAAAGGAGGTGAAATGAAGTTACGTTGGATTCTTAACCACGCTACGAACTCCTCGTAATTACAGTTATTAAACGACAAATGAACCCCCGAGAAGCGTGAACGATAAAACTAGACGTGACCGTAATCGTACATCGGCAAAGACGAATGTGTTAGTCATAAAATTTCACTTGACGTTTCGCGTGCGAATAGGCACTTCGGTTATCGCGTAAAATTATTCACACCGTGGCGTGTGTGCTCTGCTAGGCGTTCAAGTTCAGGGCTGATAGGAGAAGTGAATTCCTTATCTAAACGAGATTTCAACCCCTGAAATTGTGACACGTTCGAATATGGGATGTTTACACGACGAGCGTTTCCTGACAACTGAATGAAATTTTCAAAAGTAAATAAAACAGGTTACGACGGGGATAATATCGCTTGCATTCTTAATATCCATATTTTGATCACTTTCGCGTAGTACAACGCATGCACTTGTAATCCGCAAACGGTGCATTTTGTATGATGTATTGGGTGCAGATAACAGCGACCTATCATACACGTGACATGTGTGTGACGCTGATGGCGAACGCATTAATTCAAACGTACCCTATCACTCAAATATCCTAATCTTCCTCGTCATCTCTATTCACACCACAAACCTTTCCCCCAAATCCGCCACAACGTTTCGTCCCCAACTATTACATCTTAACCTTCCGCAAAAACGGAAGCATTAGAAACATGTAGTACGTAAGTTTGACTCACCGTGAGGAGGTTTGGGCACATAGAGGTTCAAGTATAGGCAGTCTTCGCTCTGGTTGGCCAGCAACGGCGCTAACCTCTCAACGTAGGCGCGTCTTGGCCGCGGCAGGCTCGAGTCCGGTTCCGGTGGCTTCTGTGGACACGCGGGTGGCATTGTGTCCGCCAGCTTGGTGCCACGCCACGGCGTAGGCGTGACCGGTGGCATGTATCGCAACTCTCCAATCGGCGGCGTGGCATACGGCACGCCGTAATAGGTTTCGACGGACGTCGACGATCTGGCCTCAACGCCGCGTAACGTGCCGTACCTGGTCCTAACCGTTCTCGTACTATATTTCTGGCTACCGGCAAGTGCCTCCGCTCCACCGGAGCACCAATGTCCGCACAACAAACCGAGAAACACGACGATCGTCGCCAAACACTTTTTCGACCTGTCTGACCTGTTGTCGTAACGCGTTGTTTGCACGACGTTTCCTTCCCACTCGCCATCTTTCTCAACAATGGGACCTTTCCTCGCGGTTCCGTCGTCGTCGTAACGATCCGACGACCCCGCCTTCTTCTCGAGCACCTCTTCGTTCCGCGGCGAGCGAACCTCGAAACCGACAGACGCGCGACGTTTCCCGCAATCGGCGCCAGCTTCCGGCGAAAGGCACCGCTGCTGATACACCGGAGGAGCACAGTAGAGGACAGCGTCGACACACTCGTCGAAAGCATCGTGGAAGATAAACGACCGGCTGAAGGGAGGCAGCCTAGCGATAGGGTCGAGAGGCGAGAGGTGGTCTTTCCTCTTCCTCTTCCTCGGAGACGAGGAGGAGGACGTCCGCATCGCGTCACGCCGCCGCGGACTGGCCCCTCCGGGCCCCGCATCTGTGGGGCCCTCCTGCTAAAGGACGTCCCTCTTCTTCTTCCTCTTCGTTTCTACCTTCTTGTGCTAGATCCTTGTCTTCTCTGCTCTTATCTTCCCTATTGTTTCCTACCTGCTCCTCCTTCCCTATCACCTTTCTTCTCCGGTAATTTTCTCTCTGCTTGAAACCGTTTATCACCAGTCTCGATCCAACGTCCTCCTCGTCACTTCTATCACCTTCCTCTCCCTCGAATTCCCAATATTCCTCCTCTCTGTCGTTCCACTTCTCAGTCTTTCCGCGCTGTTTATCCACACCCAGCTCCGAATACAACCCACTATTGTTCACAACAACAACCCTCGGTTGCTTGGTCTCGGTCGTCCAACGATTATTCACCGCGAACTCGCGAAATATCGGTGCTAGCGCGCTGATCGGCTGCGAGGCTCTCAGTTCCATCCTCGAGGACGTGCGTGGCCGGCAACGAGTTCCCGCGTTGCCCGGTAGCACTCGTCGTTCCTCGAAATTGTCGCGCTCGTCGTCGTGGTCGCCGTTCTACAGATGAACGACGAGCTCGAGTCGACGTCGATGAAGGATTTTGAGGGAAGCATCGGCGGCGATGGTACGACGATACCGTACTGCCACCCGCACTTTAACACGATAAGCTCTTCTTCCGGAGAACTAGCGACGACTATTTTCTTGACTATCCTTTGTACAAATCCTTGACGGAGGAGAGCTTTGGAAGTTTGGTACAGGATATCGAGTGATTGTGGCAGTTCTTTCGGTGATTCTCTTGGGTTGTTCTTATTAGGTTATAACGTAACTATACTTGATCAATTCCTTGATTTTCCTCGAACGCTACTAGTTTCTCTCCTTCGATCCTCTTCGTGCGAACCGTTAACTCGCACTTTTCTGTAACAGAAATTAAAGAGATACTCTGCTTTAGGACGAAGTGTTAAGAGAACTTGGAAATGTTGCAAATTTTCACACACCGATGCCAAGTCAATTTTCATCTAAACGTGCATCTTCACCGAACCATTCTTTGTCAAATTTCAGTAATAATACATAGGCGAAAGACGAACGAAATCCGAAATCAATTTTCAAGCGGAACAGGACGAAGGATGTATCAACTAATTCCACTAATTTTAGTTAGGTTTAATACGGGGAAACTTAGAGTACGTTTACGACAAAACGTGGAACTCACTATACGAACGCAAAGGCGTCTAAACAAATTAGTCTCCGAGTGAAATTGCATTGCACAGAAAGGCACCGTCAGCGACTAATGGAATAATAACATTACAATCTGGTGCCGAAAACCAGCGGGGTTGCTTTTGTTTCGTATTTCTACAGACGTTTAACAGGCTTTTTCAGTCCTCTGGGAATTACGTCGGACAACTCAATTTGTAACACCGCCCGTTTCGAGTCGCCGCAAGTGACACGAAAACCCAATAATACTGGTTCCGCGGCAATGCGAGAATTTCCAATTTCCAGGTTACACGGTCACTTTTAACAAGGATCGTGTGCCTCGTCCTGTATTGCTACAAGTTTACGTCGACAAAGTCCACGAGAGGAATCTAAGCTAACGGGAATTACCAAACACCGGCCTTCGTCAAGTCAATTGGAATACATTTGCACGAAAACAAATTTGAGGTAGTCTGTTAAGTCTGACAATGTTGAGGTACACGGGACTAATTGTTAAAGGTATCGAGTTCAGTGCTAGGTTACAGGCTTTTTAATTCTATGAATTGCTGAAGTAATTTAGACATTTGTTAATTATTTCAATTATAGGATGAATTTATTAATTTGAACTGATTTTGTGTAATGATGAAGTTTCGAGGATTACTAATTACTGGCAGAAAACAAAGTTGGAACATGAAAATCGAACAATACTCATTGTGAATGTTGAAATTCTGAGTAAGTGGCGTTTGTGTGAAATTATTTAAAAAACCGTTTATAAAGCAGAAGAATTTCAATACTGTTACGTTGAAAGTATGAATGAAGAAATTAATCAACAGAAAAGGTCAAAAATTTGGAAAAATTTGTATATGCCTACTTACAACCCTCGTTACTCATTTGCATAAGTCTTTGTTAAACATGTCTACGAAATTACGAAACAAAATCGAAGAGGATCGTTGAATGAAACCTGATAAGAACTGAACTTAAGTTCAGATCAGAAACGAAATCCAAGGAAAGTCGACGATTCATTGCTCGTAAAATTACATCGGAGCTTGTAATTCAGAGTTTAAACATCCCTATGCGTCTCCATAAAAAAGGATCTGCGTCAGAGTACAACGTGTGTCTGGATAACGTCTCTGCCAAACAAACTCTAGAAGACTTTGCACGGTATAGTCACTGCAGATAGAAAGTAGGTGTCGCGGAATAATATGGCAGGGAAAGAAGACGTTGACACAGTTTCATCTTTCACGCTCATTACAACACCGTTTGGACGAGAAAATATCACACTCTTTTCTAATCAACCGTGAATCTCGCTACAACGATGCATACACAGTGATAGATTTTCTGAAAATTCTAATATCGTGGAATGCTTAGAATTCCAAAATTCCAAGTATAAAGTATCTTTTAAATATCTTCCGTTAATCACTTCAACGAATTTATTACCAAAAAGATACACCTTTTTGAGAAAATGGAACTTTCGAATTATCTTGAAGACGGCGAAAGGTTGTGCAGCTTCTTAAATAAAAGTATAAAGCTGCCTTGTTTACTTAAAAATCACAAACTTCCGAAACAACCTAACATCAATACTTCGAAAAGTCTGGAAAATTGCAGCTAATCGAGACCAAACAACACACGACAAATCCGTCAAACAACACGAAACACTGGAGAATCACTAGATACCCTGAAACGCACTACCACGCGAAAACGATGCACCATTTCTGCAGGTGTACACGATAGAACGAGAAACGGTGTTCATAAAGAGCACGATTGTTGGTTCGAACGAGCGTCACGCTCGTTAAAATTACGAACGTCCGCCTCGATAAAAATTTATATGGCTAATACTCGACACAGTGTCCCCGAGGTGAATAAAGTTTAAAGAGGTATTTAAGTTATCGCGCTGACGAAAATTTATACGTGACGCCGCGACGATAAACGACACCCTGCCTGCGCTGGCCCCTTCCACGTCGCATTTCATATTCTATCTGAGGAAACGGACGTGGCGCATTTTCCTTTTTTCCCAGCGTTTCTCTTTCTCTTTCCCACCCTGTAGCTCTCGAACATCCTGATTCCGAAGTTGGACGAAACTACGCGTTAACTACTTGCCGATTCGGTCGTTTATCAACGGCTTCCATGGTTGCAGCTGCAGAGACGACGAGGCTTTCGAACTTGAAAATAGGATCAAAGGTGTCGACGGATTACGCGTCAGGTTGGACACGAATCCGTTCTACGCTCCGCCGCCACCACCGCTGGCCAAGATATCGATAACCCGGCCTATCATCGAGATGGATGAGACACGAGAAACGGAGAAGGAGAGTTGTTCCCAGCGAAATTAAATTCCTAGCTCGCACTAATTGCAGGGAACGAGGGGGGACGATTAATAATACGCCCGAGCCAGCCTCTGTCCGTTCGAACTTCCAAGCTGGGCGCAATCGATCCTCGCGAAGTTATCGAGGAGACAACAGGCACACGATGGACCTATGAACTTTCCGCTTGGAATATCTGCGTCTCGAACCGAAGACAATTTTGTCGTCTATATAGAGTAGACCGAGAATGGTTAATTCATAATGGAAACCTTCGAACTAGTGAATAGAAAATTTTTACTAACTTTCAAGGAGATATCTGTTAAATATGAATTCGTTGATCGGTACGATTAGGCTTGAATTATTCAAATTAGCGTTTGTTAAACTGTACGATAAATTTGGAAAACTGTTGCATCGATACGAAAACAAAACAGAATGGGAAAATTTGGAAAAGTTTGGAAAAGCAAGAGTACCGGGGAAAATGGCGAAAAACTAATCCACAGGAAAGCCAACAGCGTTTCGTTCCACCGAGCGTTATTCAGCATCCCAAGACGGAGGATGGGAAAAGCCGGGGAAGTTACGGAACCTTTTCAACCGTGATTAAAGCGTAAGCTAACTAAAAGTTCTCCATCCACCACGTATTTGCATACCTTCCAACTTAAACGGCTTCAAGTAGAGCAGGGATAGAGTGAGAGATCGAGAGAGAAAGAGAGAAGTTAACACTTCGCTAAGTAGTTTACTATTAAACCATAAAGCCCAAACGAGCAAGCCGTTTGCGATTTACATGATTAGTCGATGATAACACGGATCAGTTCTCCGACGAAAATAAAACAAGAAGAATCGATCTCGTTCTATATCACCCACTTATACCGTGTCGACGTACCGTGAATTTTGATTTTCATCTAGCTCCACGAGGATATCTCGTTCCCGCACACAGTCAATGGCAGCGGGAGCCGGCTCGGTTCGTTCAGTCAATGAACTGCGACGCAAATCCGATAACACGACAGCCGCTTCGCCGTGAACTGGTCCAGTCTGAGGCGTCGGGCAAAGTTAGCACACATCGCGGCGGTAAAAAAAAAAACAAGAAATCGAAAGAGACGCGATCGAACCACGTCTCCAGTTCACACCGCACTCGTGCAGGTCAAACTCCGTTCGTTCGGCTCGCGAACAAACTCGTCCACCACTCCACCACCTGCACCCTCTCTCACCACCACTACCCACGAGGTGTCTTCATCTCATGCTCGTTCGTTCGTTCGTTCTTCTTCCAGCTGTCACTGCTACTCCCGACGAAACATCTCACCAAGCAGTGTTACAAACCGCCACGACCACTCTTCTCCGCATCCGTGGAATATTTCAACGGTGTTGAACAGGGTTAAACATGCTGGTATCGTTGGTAGCAAGAGATGGTAAACAACATGGAAGAAGATCGAAAGTGCAACCGGAACTCATACGTTGGAGAACACCGTGCTATAACCGAGCAACCAACCGACCGACCGACCGAACCCGATCCG